TTCCAACTCCTAATATTCTCTGTGATTCTGTAAACACCTAATTCTACAAACATTCAGCCTACGTTGATTTTTATTTGTTTCACCTACTTTGAAATATGTGAGTGGAATTTCACTATGGTAGTAAAGGCTCAAATTACAGCTAAGAGGCTTTAAGCCATTTCTTCAATAATCTGGTATTTTGGATTCTGTTAAAACCATGCTCTAAGTTTAGAGTATCCATTTCATTTGGAATATGTAATTTTACAATTTTATAATTGCAAATATGATCTGTATAAAAAGACAATGCGATTTCTATTCCTAGTATGAGAACATACAGCACAGCTGTGTAACCTAACCAAAACCTTCAAGTTAGATATATCTTTGCAGTGACCACCTAATACTCTGTTCATAAAATTTAGCTAAGTATAAAGTAGGACTTCTATTTAAGCTTTATTTAATGGTATAATTTAGAAATTAACTGACTTTTAAGTGGTATTTAAGTACGCCAAGGCTCATCACCACTTGGGTAAATTTCAGTCTGGGTATAATGAAGCCAACCCTAAAGATCATGAAAAGATGCCCATTACCTTCAAAGGGCCTATGCTCTCTCAGTGCAAGAAGACACCAAAGTCTGGTATCAATAGATGAAGAAAAAGTGGTATGAATTTAGTAAACCATCTGTATGAACCACATTCAGGTTTACTCAAAACACACTTTCCTCATCTTTCAAAAAAAACACTCAATCAAGACCCAGGAACATCTCCCATGAGATGGCACACTGTTCACAATGATTGCACTGCTCTGCCTTTGAGTACCATCAATCCAAGCTTTAACTGCTTTCTCTGAATTCTCTTTTGTCCAATACGATACTTCACAGAGCTCACCAGTTGTTAGGTACAGTTACATTATTGGTTTTAATGATGCAAATTAATGCTCCTGCTTCCCACTCTGCTCTGCTTCCTACAACAGCATTAGAGACATGTAAACAGCTGGGTCTTTCTTTGCCTCTTTGGTTGGCTGGAGGTTTTTCCCGGGTTATTTTTCAGCTGAATCTGGTCTCAAATCTGACTGATCATACTTTCGAGTATCCACTAGTACTAGCACCAAAGAGAAGATGGGAAGACATGGCTGGAGAGGGACAGAGGCACACATGAGTGGAACCTTCCTTTCAGTGGCAGCATGAATTCAGATTCGATAAAGCCAATCACGAAAACGCCCAAGACAAATCTTGAGCACCTCTGTATGTCATAACACTCCTGTAATAGAAAACAGATGCAAAAGACAGCCAAAGAATAATTTTGGTAATATAGAAGTCCAATAACATGTTTTTAATTCTTTTTATTTTCCTGTTTGTGAAAGCCAAAAGAGGATTTAATAAATTTCACAGCTTGGACAATTAAGCAGTCAGATATGAGACAGATATAGCAAGAACTTGCATGCCTCTGGGGAATCTTTTTTCCTAACAGGCCCATATTTGCTATAGAACTTTATTCTTTCACAGTCCCAGCTGCCTCTAAAGGATATTACAGTAACCAACACTAGAGTCATATGCTGATTTAATGATATCCTTTGAAAACATCAGAAAAAGAGAATGGAAGTTTGTCCTTGACTATTAACAGCCTGTGAAGCATATTTAAAGCTGTAATCACAAACATCAAGAAAAAATAGTACCATCCAACAGTTAGAGAAATGTAACTAAAAACATATAAATCTTAGAAGACTGCTCATGCTCATAAAAACAATGAAGTGGTGCATGGCTGGGAAGATAGAGACCATCTGGCCAAAGAAAGTGCTTACATGACAAGAGGCTCCTAGCACAATGAATTTTCTTCAGAGTACTTGAGGCAATGACATTTTTTTACTAGGAATATAACACTGGTATCCACCAGCATGGAGCTCTACTGGAAGGAGAACTCAGAAACACCAATGAGCATTTAGATAAGGGGCAGATCCTCCACTTCTTGTTCAGTTTTATGCAGATAAAGGATATATTGCATTCGAAATAATTTTTTACTTGAAGAAAAAACACAAGTTTGGCTCCAAGGCACTTTTGCTTGTCTCAGTGTAGTAGATAAAAGTCCTTAACCTTTGTATAACAAACTCTTCAGCAGTCAAACGCATCTCCAACTATTTCCTCTGCATATGGCACTATCTGATGAGAAAGACCTGCCTACCTGAGGGATATCTGGGCAGGACAGAGAATAGCCCTGGGAATACTGAAGCTCTCCAAGAGATGTTTGTATGGAACATGCCACACTTGGGTTGAGAATTTGTCCATGAACATTAGCTACAGCAATTATGACAAGCAAGGTACACCTGGTCTTGAAAAAATACTCAGCATAAGCTTTTCTCATACTTGTTACTTTAAATTCTCTCTGTGAGCTTTCCAGAGCTAGCACTTCTTAGACCACAAACACATCAAAGGTCCTCTGAGGTTTGGGACTGGCATTTGTCAAGGCCTGAGTCCTGCAAGCACACACACAAGTGTTTTCATAAGCAATCAGATGCAGGCTCAAGAGCTCAATTTAGACAAGCTGTGTTCAAATCTAAGCTTGTAATCTACCTGTGGGCTGTACTGTTTACTTAAACTTTTTAGAAAGCACTGTGGTATTTTGCATGCTTTGGTATAAGCCAGCTCTAGTGGTGATGTAAGTACCATAAATACACCAGAAAAATAACAGGAAACTGTCAGAATTCTGTAATGGTGAATGCAGTATTCAAACATTTTAAATGTGAGAAAGTAAATTCTGTTTCAGAGGAATCACCAACTGCAGTGGTTTGAAGACACTTTCCACACAATGTGCTAAACTGTAGGAGGAAGCATGGGGTCTTCCCCATCCCACAGAACAAATTTCACCATGAAATACTCACATAGATCACACGGCTTGGGGAACCTGATGTACTTGAAGCAGGTACAGAAATAATACTCTCAGAGGAAGTCCTTGTTTCCTGTGGCAGGAGAAGTGAAACAGACAAGGAATGGAGGGCAGAGAGAAAAAAATGTAACTATTACTTCAAAAAAAGTATGCAAGACGTTTCATTTAATTTAACCTTTACCACTCAAAAAAGGCTTGTTACAGCAAGCTCAAAACATACAGGCATACTAAAGACTTAAAAATAAAAAACCCCATCTTTAGTCAATCAAATTTACTTTCCTGAAAATCAAAAATACAACTTTCTTTTCCTCTCCCTTCAGAACAAAATGCCTTGGAGCACTTCTGGGCTGCCAGGACAGTCTCTGGGCACTATTGGGGAGTGCCCAATATCATGCTCCGTTTTCAATCATTCTGGCATCCAGACTGACATCCAGACTATTGTTTTCTTTTTGGTAGATTTTTTAATAAAATATAATTACTTTTTTAAAAAAAGGGTTGTGAGACACAATTATAATAACTATGAGCTAACAGACCTAACATTCATAATTGAAGTTTAAACAAATCTTCCTATGAAATCAATGGGTTTATACCCTCTTTTACCCAGATATGTCAATTCACCATAAAATACTCTATCCCATCTACAGAAAAACTTGTCCCTGATTGTAAAATGTATGTATTTTTCCACATGCTCAGAACGACCACCATTTACTGTCTCATTGAAAGCTGACACTTCTTACCTAGAGGTCACAACTATTCAGACCCTTAACAGGATTTTAGCATTATTAGACTGTCAGGTCAAGGTAGCATCCTTCCTACTACTCCAGTCTTTACAAGAAATATTTACTAGCTTTTAGAAGCAGTATGCAAATATATAATATATTCAATATATATATATATATGTATTGTACAGTATTAGCAGAGTGAAGAAACTCAGCAATCACAACGATCCTTCTACTGAATTTCTTTAGCTCAAATAGTCCTATGGACTTCTCTAAGACAGTATGTGGAGATACTTCTTCATATCAAAAGAAAAGATTCAGTCTTATTTTTTTTCGCATTTCTGACTGGGATTTTGGATTTTTCTTCCTCTTATTTTCAGTTGTCTCACACTGAGGGTCTGGACGAGCTCAGAAGGTCTAAGGGGACAAGGCACACACTGTCATGGAAATAAAGTATTTCTAAGAAATACTTGTGGCTGCTGTTGAGGTGATCATTCAATACGGAGAGTGTAATTGTGTTGAACTTCTGCATAGTTAAAGTATATTGCAATATTCTAGAATCTGTGTAAATGACATTAAAGTGTCATCAACGCATTTATGTCACTTTTTCTTCCACTCCATCTCCAAAGTTTTGGAGTGTACTGCCACTTACTCCTTCTGCCTTTGTCATGCACTTTAATTACATACTGTGCATATATCTATATAAATATCTAGAAAGATAACTATTGTAAACAACAAACTGCAAAGATTGACTAGAAAAATTCTCAACCAGTATACCCTATTCCCAGCTTTACAATTTATGTTGAAAAGTCCATTACTATCCTCTTTGAAATAACATACTTTTTTCTTAGTTTATTTTTTTAATAATAAGCATGAAGACCAAAAGTAGAAGAAAAACCCAAAGAAAAGCAGAAGCAGCTAGACTTGGAAAAATTTGCTGAGCTCCATTCTATTTTTTTTCCCTACTAAGGCAAAACTCCCACTGACTTTCAGATATAGGTATCTTCCTCTCTGCTGGGGAAGGGCAGTCTCCCAGCGCTCAGAAGAGATGTGTTATAAATGAGTCAGCCCTTAGACAGTATCTTAAAAGTACACTTTCTTTGCCATTGTGAGGAAAAGGCAGGCAGGATGAACCCAGTACAACCTCGTCTGCTGTCTTTCTGTGAAGGAGGGGGGAAAAAACCCTCACCTACTATATTTTCAATAAATTACATGGGGTTTTAGTCTTGCAATTTCAGTTACTCAGCCAGAATAAAATCCTTAGGAAGCCTGAAATACTGCTTAATATTACTATGCTGAATCAGCAGCACTTATTAAAGTATTTTAACAATTTTAAATACACATGTATTAAACAATACATTTTATACTGAAATGCTACTTATTTGATATTCAGAGCTTTCCATGAAGAATACCAGACCAATCGCTTCCCAAACACATGGGTACAAAAACTACAGCCAAGATCCTTCAGAGTAAAGCCCAAACCAAATTTCTTTCAGAACTGTAACTTCCTCAAAGTTGCACTTGCTAACACACTCTTTTTTTAGTTGCTGCCTGCTGTTCTGACTTGTGCCATGTGCCTTGTGTCCAAACCTTGCTGAATCAAAGCTGAGCTTTTTCGAACAAGGGTACCAGGGTACAAGGACACAAGGATATTGCCTGGAGCATCAAAGAACAGCAAAACTGAAAAACCCCAAACTTGGCCTCCACATTAAATGAGATAGTTGCATCTCAGTCCCTAAACTTCACAGGGATAATTTCCCCAGTTACAGATTAATTCTTCATTTCCTAGGGACAGCTTATTCATCTGCTAACCTTGTAATTATTAAAGTTGCCAGAACTCCCCCTTGTTCCCCTTGCACAAAGACAGATGCACAAATCATCCAACATAAGGAGGTTCTTAAAGCCAGAGATTAAATGAAGTTGGGGCTGGCTTGCCAACATTTTACAAACAAATAATAAAACAGAAATTCCAAGGAGATACTTTTTTTTTGTAAAAACAAATAAAGTGAAATTCCTCTGATCTTATATGGCAGAGCCACATAAAAGAAGAAGAGGTCATGCACTGATCACATCCCAATCAGATGTAAGTTAAAAATTAACTTATTTTTTTCTTATTCATATGCTCATGTTTTTCCTTATTCATTATATACATATAACTCTTAGGTCAGCATTCTCCTGAAACTGTAGCTTTAATCACTAAGTAAAAGCAGAATATTAATAATACATTATTATATTAATGTACTAGATTTCTATAATTTTAAAAATTAAAATTACAGTAGTCAAAAAAATTCCACATCCTTCCCTCCATGTCTGCAGCAAAAAAAGGGATAGAGAATAATATGACAATAGAATAACACTGGGTAAAAAGAAGGTATTTTTACCTTATTTTTTTCTTCAGCCTTTGCAGCCTGTCTACAAACTGGATGCCAAATGGATGCACCTGGAAAGTAAATTGAATGTTCAACTTAATTCAGTTCCCCAGTGTTGTGGTTTATCCCCAGTCGGTAACTAAGCACCACAGAGCTGCTTGCTCACTCCTCCCTGGTGGGGCGGGGAAGAGAATCAGAGGAGCAAAAGCAAGAAAACACATGGGTTGAGATGAAGGCAGTTTAACAAGTAAAGCAAAAGTTCTGCACACAAGCAAAGCAAAACGGGGAATTCATTCACTACTTCCCATGGGCAGGCAGGTGTTCAGCCATCTCCAGGACAGCAGGCTCCATCATGCATACTGGAGCTTCTCCAGCCCAATCTCTTGCTCAGAGCAGGTCCCATCACAGGGGGCAGCTCGGGACTGTGCCCAGTTGGGTTCCACGTATCTCCAAGGATGGAGATCCCACAGCATCTCTGAGCAACCTGCTCGACTCTAATGGTAATAATTTTTTTAAACGTAGAATTTCCTGTACTCTTATTATACATACTCTTGTAATAGCTTGGCCCAGTTAATAATAAGTAGCACACTGGGATGGAATGGAATAACATTGTGGCATTTACCACTAGCTGAAAACCCAGTCTTTCTTTCTGAATTACTCATTGCACTGATCTTGCACTTCCTACATGTTTGTCTCTCATAAGTAAAATACTAATCAACTGCATTAATTCAGGAGAACACCCATCCTAGAGGAAGCAGAAAATATGGGAAGAGCCAATTCTGTACTGCATGAAAGTACTGAAAAGAGGATTATGAACTTCAGAGATACAAGTAACCATAAGTCTGAGAAAGAAAGTTAATAGTTTTGCATCAGTCACAAATATTTCCAAGAAGGCAGATGGAGATCATTAGAATTTATTTCACAAAAATAACCTAGATGAACCCAGACTCAAGCAGTAAAAGTCTATCTACAAGTACAGACCAAATAAAATATATTTACTAAGTCACTGAAGTTTTCTGGGACTGAACCACTAAGAAACATCTTTATAGCACCTTTAAATTCAATGCTAATTCATCTTCCAATTATGAGTGGTCTGAGCCTGCCCACTGAAAGTATTCGTCCCAACTACTGCATAAATTGATGTCAACCTCCCCAATGGTTTTAAGAAGTATTTAGATTAACCTTTCATTTATTTATTTATTTTTTAAATTAGTCTTATCTGTGGTCAAGCAAAACTGGTTTGGAAATTTCTTTACCACTGAAGAAAAGCTCCTTTTACCCAAAAGTCATCTGCTGGATGACCACTAACAACTCAATTTCGGCTAAGGAGCATGGAACACCTAAAGGAACTTTATAGTAGTTTATTAAGAGGATAAAGAACAAGTTATAAAGCCCTGGACTCTGATATTTTTTGTTATCTAACACATCAGATCAGTCAGTCTAAATACCTAATCACAGATCTTTCATGAAGGTAACATCAGTTTCTAACGGAAACTGCTCTTCATGTGAAGACAAAAATTTATGATTGTAAGCTAGTATGGATGTTTCATGCACCAGAAAATAAAGTGAATAAGATGGGTCCGAATTAACATACATTGTGATTATTTGAATTAAAAATCAGCACAAAACCTAACAAATATCCATCCTTATAACAAACTGAATTGAAAATGAAAACTCACTGCAACCCAGTTTCAGAAAGTTTGAAATCTAGAAACAGATTTGTAGTTTGATATCTTTTTAAAAGCATTGATTACCCAGGTGATTTTAGTACTGCTAAGCTTCTTTGCAATTAGAAGAACCACAGCATTTTCTGGCTCCTGAGGGAGAATCCATGAGCACAGACAAGGATGTCCTTTAATGAGGTAGTTCTTGTTGTAAACCAAAGTGACAATAAAATGGGCATTTTAAATAACATACTAAATTATAATTAGATCCGAGATCACTGTTGTCTAACTTTTCCAGCTTAAGGAATGATTTCAAAGTACCCATCTACAAAACTGTGGACAATTGCAAAGTTGTAATACAGATCTGGGCAAGCATGTGATTTTTGGATAACACACCAGTCTGGCAGTTCCCACATCCTACTGAGTTTCTCTTTTCTGTTTTCCATTGAAAAGTTACTGCCAGTCAAAGACAAAGGCAAAAGCCTTCATTTTCTCTGGTGTCTGACCCTGTATTTAACTGTGTAGACATTGTTTTCTTTGGTCAGTCTAGTACGGCTAAATGTAGCTACATATGAAATACAGATTTTAGCTCAAATCTATGTTGAATAACTCTTTTTTCCCCCCATTGAATAAATTATTGTGCAAGTCCTTCTTTCTAACTGAAACTGTCTGATAAGAAATACTGATTTTCTCCTGTGCAAGCTTATGGCTGCGTAAGATATAGGCATATTGTGTGCTAAGGGCTTCAGCTCCACGGCATCCTCTTCTCCACCCTCTGAGGGCACTTAGGTCTGACTGAGGGCAATTCAGGTAAGGACCTTCAGATCTTCTCCTCATACCCAAACGGGCAATGGGTCCAGTTCTTGGAGTCAGAACTGCAGCAGTAGCTTTAGAGAACCTGCTGTCCCTTATGTGTGTTAACGTTCATCTGGACCACTTATCACTGCAGAAAAATCACATTTTTTCAGTAAATGGAAAATTTTGTAATCTTCATTGTGAAGTACCTCCATCTGCAGGAAATAACTGTTACCACTCATCCTTTCTGTGATTCACACTTGCTATTGGATTTGAACTGAGAGAGAAGCAATAGTGAGTAAGATGCAACAAGGGTTTGTTTTTGCTTTTCCTTAGATTACACATTGCATTCTTCACTTTCTTTGGTAGTTATGAAGTAAGAGTATGTGCAAAACAGCTCAGCCATGCCAACAGGTATGGGAAAGAGGGCCACACTGCCAAATGTAACCGGTTTCATTTTTGGGTTTAGTGGGTTGGTTTGTTTTTACCTTGAAGATACATTTCTTCTCCTTCTGCAAACATCTGATTGCACCTCACACATCGTGCGCACGTTGGGTGATAATGTTTTTCTCCTGCCTGTTTGGGGAAAAAGGTACAGATGATTAAGTACACTGATCAATTTAGTAGCTTCACTAAGAGGCATTTTTCTTTCATCCTCTACAATATGATTAATTAGAATAAATTAGTTAATGGCAATTAGCTCAACAATCTCCTACAACCACCATGCTTATTTTTTCATTACAGACAATTCATGATTTAAAATGTAATTATCGTCTTGCCTACACAAAAAAAAAGTTAATGCGCAATTCTGAATTTACAGAATGGAAACAATTCTATATAGCAAACACATTTTCCTGGTAAACAACCATACTGTGCACCAAGTGCAAGGTAGCTTAGGACTCGCCTGCAGAAGGAAATAGGGAGGTAATAACCTTGAGCATGCATTTGTAATTCACTCAATGTTCTTCACAATCCCACTGAACATACACTCTTAACAAGCAGCAAGAACCCTCTTGTTCAATGAATGTCTGTATTTGCTTTGAAAGTGGTTTGCAGGTAATGGGTACTAAAGGGTTTCCACAAAGAATACGTGTGGTGTGCCTATAGGACTGTAAGTTCAGAGCTGTCACTTCTGGGCACTGTGCACTAAATCCCTCACGCAGACATCACAGGAGCTTTGCCAATTGTTCTGAGATTAATAGTTGTAATTTAATACCAACATTTTCATTGATTGGAATGAGAATAGGACTGAACCCTAAATATGCTCAGAACAGCTTAGTAACTCATCAATTTTCATAAATTTAGATTTCCAATTACGTTATAACCCTATTAATTTAAACTGTTTCACCATTGACCTCAATGTGTTTTTTAAGAGAAGACATCTACCTGCCAAAAGGAGCAAGAGCTTGTCTATGTCAGAACACAGATGAAGTTAACTTCAGATGACTATCAGAAAAGAAAGCCAAATTTAAGTTAAAGTTAAGCTAAGTCTGTCTTCAGTAGAAGTTATCCTGGAGTTAAAAATAAACAAATTTTGGTCCATGAAGAATATCTCATAAGCTGTTTATCTGGAAAAGGCTGAAAGGGCATTGCATGTACTTTTAAGAAATCACTATCAAGTACTGACCCCCTGTCTTCAGCATGTAAATATGCTCTCACAGCATTGCACTGTAAACCCTCTTTCTATTAATTACTACAGGGATGACTTGGCTAACTCTTGTTCATTGACTGAATGTCAAAGCCTTCAGAGGTATTTATACTAAAGAACACAATTGGGGCTATTTTGCCATTCACAAAGTCAAATACAGAAGAATGATAAATTTAGGCTAAAGAATCTCTGGTTAAAGAATCTCATCAGTGTTAATTTGGTTCACCCCTGAAAACCTGATGCTTTACTTTAAATCAGTAATAAGGAAGAGCAACACATCTGATCAGAATTCCCATTTTGAAAACAGCCTTATTCCAGTGCACTCTTCTTCTTATGGTGTCATCTGTGTACATTGCTGGGTGATTTCTGCAACTTCAGACATGGAAGATGGTCACTACTACCTGTGTGAACACCTTAAAGTATCAGATTATGAAGTAGCAGTACCAGGTTTAAATCTCAGATTTAAAATGGTCTGACTGAGTGTAGGTGTTTAAGCACAGAAGGTTATTCAACTGTCATGAGATAAACTTGAATTTGGAATATCAAGCTGAAAAGAAACATAATTTCCCTTGGAAGATCTATACTGCACAAGCATTGCTAATACAATGCACAGCCTCAATAATTCAATTGATTTAGCACAGTTGATACAACTCCCAGGCTAAGACTCTCTAGGGGAATTCAATTACTCCTTTGCTAAAATAAACTGTCAGAAGACATTCTCAGATTACCTAGATGCATCACAGCATAAAAATCTATTTTCCTAAATTTAATAGCACAACCAAATACCTCATTTTAATTCACTCAGTAGAGTAAGTGATATCAACTAGCTGTAGAATGGCACAAAGAGACCTTTTAGATACAGTTATAACAGAAAAACAAGGGGAAAAGGTATAGTGATCCTTTTGCTGATGCTCATACCAGCATAACTCCAATGGATTTTGCATAATTATGTCTGAATTAAAATAGGACATACTCAAAGTCTACACATAACTCTATGTGCCGACAGTCTTCCTCCTTTTAAAAACTGTTTTTCATGTTATGACTCTTCTGACCAAAGCACAGGAGACAAGACATGGCAGACATTTCATCGCTTTAAGTATTTATAACAGATCACACCATTTCATAAATGAAAGGTGATAGCCAAATCTGAGATTCAGGACTTGATGCTGGAATTAACAATAATATTCCCTTTATTATATCTTTATACAGATAGCCTGATTAGATACCACCAATTATATTCAAACCTAGGACCTGGATGTTTTGGGTCTGAATGTGAATCATAACCTCACTTCTGTACATGCCAAGGAAGCTTTCATCTGTGCCCCTCTCTCCTCCAGACTCTTTCAGTCACTCCATCTCATGGATGAACAATCAGTTCCAGAAATACACAGAAATTCTATAAGCTTAGGGCAGCAACTGTTTTATGTTTCCAGTTTGGTTGTAATGATGGCCTTGTTATTTTTTCTTTTCTTGGTTCTATTGATGTGAGGGAGTTTAATGCAGCAAACAAATTCCTAACCATATGGTTACTTCTTCTTTGCACAGTTTGAAAGCTTAGTTTGACAGATTGTTGTCTTAGTGCTTAATAAAATATCAACACACACAGAGCGCAGAAGAAGTGACATTCATCTCTGAGAGATCTCTTACGGTTCAAATGGTAGATTGTAAGAAACCTTCTCAATATCCTACATTTGCTTCAAGACTGCAACAGGTCCTGCTGCCCAAACACCCACATGTGAAGATAGTACTATTATGAAGATCAATTTAAAGATTAATTCTCAACTGAAATTTCCTCAAACCTGAATAGCAAAGTATGTCCTTAGGAACATAATACACTACCAACAGTTTCATTCCTCTTCAAGTGACTACACCAGCTTTTCACAATTGCTGAGTCAAGTCTTGGTGTGTAATTTAAAGGTGGAGTCAAAACAGTCCTTAATGCGCTGAGACGAAGTATTATGAATTACTTTGTTCCCTGAGGTATGAAGGACCACTTTGAATAGTAAATCTCCTGTGTGCAGCAGGCAGAGCCTTCTGGGCTAGGTCAACGTGATGAACGTTCTAGAGCAGCCGAGGACCTCCCCTCACTCCCTGCCCTAAGCATGGGGGGCACTGCAGTGTTGCTGCCTGTTCCCTCACAGCACATTGACTAGTAAACCCATGCTTCACTTAAAATAGGACCAGAAAGCTCTGCAACAAAGTACATCCAACCACCTTTTCTCATTTCCCATGCCTTCAGGGCTTGGACTAGATAAAAGAGGAATGATCCTGATGTGACAAATGTGAGTCATGTTATTTAAAGTATAACCTGAAGACAGTAAGGGTTATAATTCTAGAGTTTGCAGAGCAGTATGAACACTAGGCCTAGGAAACACGCAATGCTAGCAAAAGCAGAAGGAATAACCTTAACCAGTTAAGGCTGGACTTCAAATTAGCTGTCATCACTCAGAAAAAAGATATTACATTATTGCAGACAGCTCAGTGAAAACCTCTGCTCATTCTCTGGCTATGGCTGCAATAACTGATTAAGTGGTAGAATATATAAAAGATTATATGTATGATAATAGTAACTCTATTACAATGACATTGCTCATCTGGCCTCTCATGCCGTTGCTAGGGGTGTGATAGATGTCATTTTTCACTGTAGCTGATGAGCAACAACTACTTATGGATTGACACATGAGAGACTGAACCAGAGCAACCTAGAGCTCAAAGCGCAAGCTGAGACTTGGAAAGAAGACTCAAGATTTCTTACGATTCTCTCAGCAGTGAAGTCTAAGTACATCCTAATCCTATCTCACTTCATTACTCAGTAACGTAGCTAGGAAAGCAAAGAAAGAAAGTAGAAAAGATAATTTAACGTGTTAAATAAACTCATAACTATTTAGTTCCTTTCCTGAGAATGAAGTTTTCAGTAAATTTTTTTCTGTAACAAATAAAAATCTATCTCATTATCAAAATACACAGTGGTAACTGACATCTTTTACTGCTGGGAGTAAAGAGTTTGTGGAAATGAGAAAAGGTTAGACTGCTGCAATGACTCAATCACATCAAAGCATAGTTTCCATTTTAAGCAAATAATACAATATAGGTTGCTGTAGCAGTGCATTATCACTGAGTGTTATCTATTGAAATAGCCCAAATCCTGCCATCCTCATACTCTAAAATCTCCAAAAGAAGTCCTTACTGTATCCCAGTCAAAGGAACAAAGATAATGGATGTCAGTCTACAAAACACTGAGCCTGTTGGTATGCCAAGGCATGGTGCAGTTGCATGACCCAGAAACAGAAGTCTGGCATAAAGCATTCTTAGTTAAAAGCTTTTCACATGGAACAAATTTGTTGGAGAGTTGGGTCACCACCAGACAAACACCTTGTTCAAGCAAAGGGAAACAGAATAAAGCACAAATCCACCAACAATCAATAAGCCTTTCCATTAGGCAGCTTCTCATCCTAGAATGAAGGACTAAAGCTCTTATGAAAGGCATATAACTTGACTGCTGCTATTTGAAGTGAAAGGGAGTTACTATTTGTTTGGGATGGGAAGTTCAAAAATTCTTAGCTACTGTAGTGATGCTCTTTTCTATACTTTGTCTCTATTTCCTTAACAATTTTAATCCATATGAACTATATTAAAGGGCACTGATATTTCTCCAGGTGCACTTCATAAAACAGCTAATAGAAGAAATATAATTAAAGTCAGGAAGTATGCAAGTGCATCAGAAAATGACAGAATAATCCAGGTTGGAAATTACCTCAGGAGGTTATCTAATCCTACCTCCTGCTCAAAGCAAAGTTGACGCTCAATTCAGACACTCTGGTCTGCTTAGGAATTTGTCCAGTCAAATATTGAAAACCTCCAAGGATGGAGACTGCATAACCTCTGGGCAGACTGCTTCAATGCTTAGTCATTCTCACAGTGATTTTGT